CAAGCAATCTTGTGGAAGTTGTAATCGATTAACGCAGGGACACACGTTGGTTTAAGCCGAGGGTCTTTGTCACCGTGTCCAAGACGGTTCTTGTCACCATCACCCCACGTGAACAGCTTCCCAGACGACACAGAGCTTGAGTTTGACTGCGTGACAATGATCTCCACAACAGCAGAAGTGTGCCAAACGCCGCAAGAAACCGCAATCGTTCTCAACCCTGACAAAGACTCAACCTCTCTCGGATACTGAACTGTTTCCCTGTCACCGTGACCTAACACACCAAACGTTCCATCTCCAAATGTGAAAAGCCTCCCATGAGATGTTACCAAAGCCGTATGCCAAGGTCCACAAGTTACTGAACCCACATGAAGCCCTTCGAGAGGACCACCGATTCTCTTTGGTATCCAGTGACTAATACCAGAGCCATGACCTAAGAGACCAACATTATGTGTACCATCACCCCAAGTAAAGAGCTCTCCAGAGAGAGTAACAGCACAAGTGTGAAACTCTCCACAAGCAACAAAGTCAATAGCTGTGAGAGACTCAACGAGACGAGGATGGAAAACATCTTTCCCAATACCATGACCAAGCCTTCCTCCAGATTCTTCACCCCAAGTGAAAATCTCACCTTGACGTGTCACAAACGCAGCATGCCTAACACCACATGCGATCTGATGAACATCAAGGACAATATTCGACTCCAACGGCTTCGGCACAAGGACGTCCGTTCTCGTGGTTAGATAACTCGCACTCTTATCAATCCCGACTTTGACCACATTGTCACATATCACCTCACCCCAAATGTAAACGTCGCCTAGAGCATCAGAGTCATCTGCTCCAGAGCCATGACTAGAACTACTCTGTGCACTAGAGACACTGACACGAAAACCATCTGAGCCAGGTACCTTTGTTTGCATGTTTTTGGTGTCCAATGCAACAACAACAACATGTGGCTTCTCTGAATCAGTTAATGGAACCACCTCAGGCTCAACACTCTTAGTAGGAGAAGCAACTGGATCGATATTAAAAGGAGTCCCTGGAGAGCTGTGACCCCGTGAAGCGCTCGCAGAACTGCTGCTTGGACTGCTTGATGTCAAGTCTCTGCTAGCCTGAGAACAAACAGATCCATTGAGTACCTAAATGCAATTACAACATGACCAACCACAGAGTCTTTGCCTGAATACTTACATCAACAGAGAGGTTTCCGCCACTCCAGCCATCGATTTTAGAGCGGCCGCCTTGGCCAGACGATATCAATGTTTTAAGTCCTCCAATCCAAATCTCTGCCTCAACCTTGTCCTTACAAATCTATCAAGAAAGAAAACTGTTACTTACTTAACAAGTGGCTGGCTCAAAATATCAGTTTTCAAGATGACTAACCAAGTCAAGAGACTTCTTTTTGCCGTTGTACAAGAGAGAAAAAGATAAGTAGTCTTTCTCTGGACGAAGATAACGCTGGAACACAGCCTATTTGCAGAAAGATTTCGTTTAACAGAGATATTCTTGAAAAGCTAATGAGAGAAGTTCTTGGAAGATAGTATATCTTACAGTTCTTTGCCCAGGTATGATTTTAGATACAGATGCTAGTTTCAGTCGCTTTTCACCACTACTCGATATCCAGATCAAAGATTTTTCATCCTACACAACCAAAACACCAACAAGCATAGATTTTTTCTCAGATGAAGCAATTGTAGAAGAGAGAGTGGTTTGAGCAGACAGAAGAACTCACACTAGACAGTCTAAAAGGATAAAACTTCGGCTTCCCTTTGCGACCATATTTCAAAAGTTGTGTGCCCTTCTTCAATGTAATCAATGCCTGCCAAATTGAACAACACACAAATTAAACCCCCCACCAAATTAAACTTGAAAAAGTTCGGATTTTTACAAAGAATAAATGGGTAAAGACTTGAGATTTGCAGGAAAGTTTCACAATTTGAACAAACAAGACTCCAAATTTGCAACTTTTGTTTCGTACTAGTTCATCACTAATCGCAAAAATTTGAACTTTCTACTGTTTATGACCAAAATTCTTCAGAGAGAGAGGGACCTGTTCAACGTTGTGGTCAGCATTACTGTAGGTCACAAGATCTGCCATTCCATGTGAAATGTTCACCAGAAGACCACCAACCTCTTCGATCCTCACCGTTCATCATCTAAAAGCAAAAGCCCCGGAGGTCCTAGCCGTCGCCGTGGAAACCATCAATCAAACCAAGCCGGTGAACCAGTTGCAACAGAGAGAGAGAGAGGGAAATGTAAACGAAAAGCTTTAAACTTCCAAAGATGGAACTGCCCTTTTCGCTTAATTGACCTCTCAGATCTAATGAGGCTTCTCGGAGATGAAAAAGACCGGAACTTTGTTTTCTTAAAGCTGCACGATTTTCAGAATTTTCCGGAACGAAATTTTGATTTGTAACTGCTGGGTTTTAGTAAGCTGTGATGGACGAATTGCCTGTCCGGCGGAGCAAAGTTAGACCTTCCGGAGAGAGAGGAAAATCCGGCGGAGAAAAACGACGGAAAAGCAAAAAGGAAGGAGGAGGAAGACAGGGAAGTCAGAGACAGCGATGACAGAAGAAGGAAGAGAGAGAGAGAAAAGGAAAAAGAAAGAAAGTGACGACGACGGTGTCTGAACAGACGGTAAAATACGAAAATTAAATTTAAAGGAAACTGTTTCTTTCTTGGTATTATTATTTTATTTACTGTAAGTAAAATCTTCTTACAACAATTTTTATGCTTTTCTGAAAAATATCCAAAAATATTATACTACGAAAGCTAGTGAAAGAAAAATAAAAGAAAAGTAAAGTGAAGAGCATTCCCCATGCAGTAGTAGAAATCAAATTAAGTTTTTGCTTTTTTTCAGTGATTTTCTAGATAAACTAAAGTAAGGCTGTTTTAATTTTTTATTACACAAAACTAGTTTTGGTTTTGAAACCGAGGTGAAGGAGAAACCTCAGTATCTCACATTGAAATATGTCCAGGAAACATGATACAAAAAAACAAATTGGTATATTGTTTTCTGTTGTATGGGGGATACATTGTATTCGTATCAATTTAAGAGTTAACGAGACAATCCACAAAGTCAACTAAACCAATTTCCAATTCGTTTTGTAGCATTTGTCAATGAGGTAATTTGCATTTGTTTAAACTTTAAATATGAGTAATGTTGAGTTTTTTGGTTTTAAGTCTCTAACTAGTAATTATCGTTGTGTAGATTCTTTACCATTTTAATTTAACCGATAATCATGTTTCAGATCATCCTATTAATTTTTACTTAAAATAGTTGTTTTTTGTTTACAGAGGGTAATTCCGGTTAGTTCATTATCGTGGGTCAAATTAGGCCGGTTCATGTGGGTTGTCCGGTCTAAAACAAACGCGAGGAGATTGAGGATATAATGGTAATTCACAAGGAGGGGAGGGTTTATTCTTCGCCGCAGACACGTTGAAGGTTTGGTCGCCGGTTGTAAGGAAAAGACAAAAGCACCCCTACGGCCGGTAGGTGGGCCCGTTTTGTCTGGTTCTTTCCCTCCAAATTCCGAGGAGAATGTATCACTTTTTCGTGAAAACTTATAATAGTGCATCTCCATTTTCTCTACTTTCTTTGATATTGTTAATTTGTATATATAACGATTTTCTTAGTTGTATAATCCTTTAGATTCACCGACAAGATAAATAGTTTATGGTTATAAACGAATATGAATGTGAGTTTGTTTGCATAGCAATACATAATTACATAGGATCTAGCTCGTCTCGGTATTGTAAAAGCAAATCGAAACCTTGGATTGGATGATGCGCGCCCAAGGATCAAGACACAAAGTTGTAGTTCAATTTTCCATACATATATACAGATTATCACATGGTAAAGATTAATAAAGAAAAACTATAATTTGTGTTCTCAAAATTTATTTAAGTTAACATCAGTACATAAAGATTAACATCAGTACTATGATACTATCTTAACTTGGAAGTCACTGATGTTACAACAAAGAAAAAAACAAATGACCACAAAACATAGTGCTTTCTTCGAGAGACGCACAAAAGACAGAGTTATAGAAATCGAAAGCATCCTCTAGACTCTAGTCCATGATAACTGGATTTGAATGTAACGAGTTGGGCCCATCCTCATGGCCTTTTTATGAGTGAAGGCCCAAATCTTAATCTAAATTTCGCTGAACCATAATATATGCCCAGCAGGATGTACAGAAAAATTGACATTAAAGAAAAAGAAACCATAAATGGGTCCCTCTATGTATTAATCATTTTTTTTTCTATTGTTGATAGTTTACGTTTTGATATGGGTCAAGCGAAGCAAGGTTACGGTAAGATCAAAATATGTCAATTATTCCAATTATTATAGTTGACAATGACCTGGCCTGATAACGATGGACGGTAACGAACTTGGCATGACAAATGAGGTTGACCATCAAAATATACAATATTATCTACAAATTTTCAAAATCTTGGATACTCCTAATCAGAACATGTAATTTCTCACCGATTTATAAGTGAAAGAACAAGAAAATTGACTAATTACAACTGTAGTTGATTTTCTGTACCACAGCTTTTTTACAGATATATTTTTTTTTATTTTCACATAATTACAAAAAAAAAATGTACAGGAGCCACAAAATTATTTTCTCGTCTTGATATTATTGTCAAATGGAATAAAGTGGTTTCGCTATTTTAAGGAATTTTGTTATTTTTCTTTTTTATTACTTTCACATGGTTTGTTGGTATAAAGCAATTTGTTTCGGACAAAAGAGAACTACTTGAAAAATCCACTAGGCGGAGAAATTAATATCCTACGTGGCAAAAAATCACTTTGAAAACCGCGATAAAAATGTACACGTGGTAGCCAAATCAACTTTAGTTACGAATTAGATAAATCGAACAGCCTTTAATTTGACACGTCACATTATTTAACGGCTCAGGATTTTACGTCTACGTTTTGTATCGCTGATTCGCTGCGCCTCAAATGTGTGTTGTGTTCTGTTGGTCTTTGTCTACATTGCATGGAAACGGAAACGGAAACGCGGATGCAAAACGTTTCGGAAACGGGAAACGTCTATTTTGAAAAATACAAGATTGGAAACGTTTTGGAAACGCATATATAATATTTATGATATACATATATATGGTTATTTTAAAGTTTGTTAATATATAATATATGTATGTAACGAATATATAGTAAATCAAGTTGGTGCAGTGGTTAGTGGAGGGACATTATTCCAAGCAGTCATGAGTTCGAATCACAGGATTATATGTTTTGTTAGTTTTTTAATTTTTAATAAATAGAGGGTATAATTGTAATTTCGATAACGTCTTCTTCCCGACTCTTTCTCCACTTTCTGTAACTCTAATTTGGCGGCCATGTTCATCAATTTTCGCATTATGCATCAATTTTCTTGCATTTTTTAGTAGTTTTCTTCGTAGATTTGTGAATCTAATAGATATAAATCTTTTACAAACCAAAATATCGAATAAAACTTAATTTCTTCAACATTCTCCGATTTGTTGTTGATATAAGGCTTGGCGGCTGCAGAGACCAGGTTTTCGAACAGAACGAAAACAAGTTTCCGTTGCGTTTCCGTTTTGGAATTGGACGCTTCCACTGCGTTTCTAAATGGAGAATTTCAAGAAACGCGTTTCCATGCGTTTCCGTTGCGTTTCCGACGCGTTTCCGACGCGTTTCCGTTTCCGATGTGTTTCGAAACGCGAAACGCATAGTGATTAGCGTTTCATACGTTCTTTGTTTATAAATTACATGTACTTACAGATTAATAAATAATAATATGATTATTCGAATATTGTGGCTGTAGTAAGAATTACTAAATCAAATAATTTTTATAGAAATGGAAGAAGATAATAACATTTAATTTTTTTGGGTCTAGTCGATTGTAATACGAGAGTTACATGTAACTTTTATGGAGTTGGAATCATTGGTAGTTTGGTACCATCCTCGAACAGTAGGAGTCGATCAATGGAGTACTATTTTACAGTGGATGACAAATTGCATTTAATGAAAAAAACTTTGTCCTATTCATCGGCCATTTTGGTGAATATATATGGATTTATTGGATGTTCTAGTTCTATCATAGAAAATTAACCATCTAATAACCTTTTACTGTTATAGGTATGGTATATTTATATATGCCTAAATAACGATCATATCAAGTGAGTTTCGGTTTAGTTATGCTTCTTACTACCCTTTCGATATTATGTTCGATTCCTACTTATATTAGTAGGGATGTTGATTTTGTTGGGGATGATTTATAAGCTGGTCCTGACCGAAAGAGATGATAGATTTAAAGAGTAGATAACAAAAAAAAATCACGATAATATTATTCACTACTCACGTCGGTTATTTACCTATTGTATTATTTAATACTTACCAGTTTATACTTTTGTGGATATATAAACATATACGGGTTATGTATACATACGTAGAAAGGGATCAAGTTGGGGTCACTTTACAGAGCCATACGTAGTGGAAATACATCTGAATCCAGCTCATTGTAACCACTGCTTTTATTTTCTCTCTTTTTTTTATTTATCCCCTTATGGATTAATAATTGGAATATAAAAATATAATTTCTGAAAGATATAGTAGCAAAATGACTAGAAGTTAACCAAATACGAAACGAAAAAAGAAAAGAGAAGTGCGAAAAAAGTGGGAGATGAGTTTGGTGTTTCAGACAAAAAACAAACTGCCAGTAAGATTGTCCATTCTCCTATTAATGTTTTGTTATACTTAAACAAAACATCCCCATAACTAAAATGTGATTGCTTTCCTAAATGTTTATACAGTTTTGTATAATTTTCCAATGGTTATAGATACCAAAACATCCATGAGTACACAAAATTCATAATAAAAATGGCAAGATGATGAGCTCGTTAGAATGTTATTAAATACGATTAGTTATACTTTCTAATGTTCAATTGAAGTAAATGGATTATGGAACCATAAGATAAAAGTAGAAGCTATCAAATAAAATAGATAGCTACTTTACAAGATTTCATTGTTTTGATAACCTTAAGAGCGTATAACTAAATCCGAGCAGTGAAAAGCAATTTAGTTTTAAACTAACGTGTGTAATTAAGCTTGATAGTTTTGACATTCAAGTTACCAATTGAGGTATATAGGTTTTACGTTATTTCACAAATGTGTCTACAAACGGAAAACACGTTCATCTTTATTGACATTGACATGATATATTCAGGAAATACCGGTAAAGCTCTTTAAGATTTTTTAATAAGTAGAAAACGAAATTAAAACCAGTGGTTGTCGAAGAAACACCAAAATGTTTACGTGAAAAAAAATTGATGCATTATTACTTATAACTTATTAGGCACCGGAATATTTCAATACCATTAAATAAGGTAGGTCATAAGCTAACTAAATCATGTCTCTCTACTTGCTTTTTCTCATAAATGCTTTGATATCCGCCTAATAACCATATATAACTTGGACATTTATCTAACTCTTCGTCTAATTTAATACCGTAATTTGATGTTACATCAAAGCTTCCACATATATATTAATTACACCCACACCGCTTTCTATCTCAAATCGTCATAATACAAATTATATAATGTTATGTTTCACCATTTATATATTCCATGAAAATTACGGTGAACAATGACGTGTGTTTGTTATATACGAACTAGTTGCATGATTAGAGATTAGAGAGGTCAACATTAGAGGGTGAAAAAGGTAAATTTACAGTCGGTGTCGTGACCAATTTGCGGTTTGATCCTGCGGCGGTGAGAAGCTAATATGGGCCCACAAAAAAACCCGAATATTATCCCTATCGTCTCTATCTGCAGCTGTTCTTGCTGATTACCTTTGATTATTTTTTCCACTTATATAATAATTTAATCGAAAAGCATCCATTATGATGTCAATCATTTTAAACACTAATGTAATCATATTCTCAGGCTTCTCCACAGCTCACAATCTTATATTATTGTTGTTATTTCAATTCGAATCAGCATTGTTATTATTCTATTGGTTATTTACCATGAATATACTATTACACTTCTATAGTAACCAAATATCAAGCCTCTCCAATAACTAAAAAGGTCGTGTAATCAGGAAAAAATAATTCTAAGTAACTCAAACAGGTCACAAGTGGCAAAGTGGAACAGTTAAAGACTGTCCAATCATACATCCACGTTAATCTAAGTATTTATTTATTTATCTGTAACAATATATGAATTGATGCAGTGAGCATATGTTTTTGTTATCGGATCGTAAATTTAGAGTTTGCAAAATTCAATATTAATCGATAAAGAGTTTCTGAAAAATTTATCGTCGAAAAAAACTGATCAAACCAATCATTAATCAGTTGTTACGGTGAACCATACACGTAATTTTACATGGCATGAGAGAAATACACATAAATAATATTTTCGTGAATTATATTTTTGGTGCCAAAATTTTCTTATAAGCAATGAGAAGATTCCCAAATTAAAAAAGACAGAAGGAAAGCGAAAAAAGTTCCCCTTTTAAGTCCCACTCCTCTTTTTGTAATACAGAAGAAAAAATAAATCACACATAATTAAATATCATGTACAAAAATGTATCTTTATATTTATAAGATCTAGATAAATGGTCCATCCCACACCCAATTAAATACCCCTAAGATAAAATCACAATAGACAAAAATATTGAAAAAAAGAAAAAACAAAGTCAGAAAATTCAACCACAACTCTCGTCTTCTCTTCAAACTCTCCTCATCTCTCTTTGAATAGAAATCCAAATTCAAGTGTAAGTATGTCAGGAAACTCTTCAGGGCTGTTGGATAGTTCTGGCGGCGGCGTGGGCGGTTCCGGCGAGGAGGAGAAAGATATGAAGATGGAGGAAACCGGCGAAGGAGGCGGCGGTGGAGGAAACCGGTGGCCAAGACCGGAGACTTTAGCTCTCTTGAGAATACGTTCGGAGATGGATAAAGCCTTTCGTGACTCTACTCTTAAAGCTCCTCTATGGGAAGAAATCTCCAGGTTTGTTATATTATCTTACATGCATATTTATGTGATTATGTCTATGTATATACCACACATTTGATCTTGAAAATAAGACAGAAATTCTATGATCTTATATATACGTTTAACACATTTATATATGGATATGTATATATCATATTTTTCGATAATTCATTTGAATATTCCTATAAGGCTATTTATGTGTTGATAGGTATGTAAAAGACTAATTTACATATAAATATCTAAAATAAATGAAATGTAATTTTGTATCTTATGGAATTTTTATTGATAAAATAATTAGGAAAATGATGGAGCTTGGATACAAGAGAAGTGCAAAGAAATGCAAGGAGAAGTTCGAGAACGTGTACAAGTACCACAAACGTACCAAAGAAGGTCGTACCGGAAAATCCGAAGGCAAAACTTACCGGTTCTTCGAAGAGTTAGAAGCTTTCGAGACTCTCAATTCCTATCCACCTGAACCCGAATCGCAACCCGCTAAATCTCTTGCAACTGTCACGACCACGACCGCAACCGCAACCGCAACTATGATGCCGTGGATCAACTCTAACAATCCATCAGCCGAAAAGAGTTCTTTACCGATGAAACATCATCATGATCAGGTTAGTGTGAAAACCAACACCACAAACCCTACCTTCCTGGCCAAGCAACCATCTCCTACGGCAACTTTCCCTTTTTATACCAACAACAATACTACTGTTGTTGATGCTGGTTTTAAACAAACTTCTAATGAGTTGATGAACAATGTTTCGTCGCTGAATCTTTTCTCGAGCTCAACTTCTTCATCTACTGCATCTGATGAGGAAGAAGAACATCATCATCAGGGCAAGAGATCGAGAAAGAGAAGGAAGTATTGGAAAGGGTTGTTCACGAAGTTGACAAAAGAGCTGATGGAGAAACAAGAGAAGATGCAAAAAAGGTTCTTGGAAACATTGGAGAATCGCGAGAAAGAGAGAATCTCAAGGGAAGAATCTTGGAGGGTCCAAGAAGTGGCAAGAATCAATAGAGAACATGAAACACTGGTCCATGAGAGGTCAAATTCCGCGGCTAAAGACGCTGCAATCATATCCTTCTTACACAAAATCTCTGGAGGACAACAACAACAGCCACAGCAGCAACCGCAGCAGAATCATAAAGCATCACAAAGGAAACAATATCAGAGTGATCATCCAAAAACATTTGAGAGTAAAGAGCCAAGGCCGGTTCTACTTGATACAACAATGAAGATGGGAAATTACGACACCAACCAATCGGTGTCTCCTAGTTCTTCAAGATGGCCTAAAACCGAGGTCGAGGCCTTGATAAGGATAAGGAAGAATCTTGAAGCTAACTATCAAGAAAACGGTACCAAGGGACCACTATGGGAAGAGATCTCCTCAGGAATGAGAAGATTGGGATACAATCGCAGCGCGAAACGGTGCAAGGAGAAATGGGAAAACATAAACAAGTACTTCAAGAAAGTCAAAGAGAGCAACAAGAAACGACCCCTTGATTCCAAGACTTGCCCTTATTTTCACCAGCTCGAAGCTTTGTACAACGAGAGGAACAAAAGTGGAGCATTGCCAATATTGCCTCTAATGGTGACTCCAGAGAGACAGTTGCTTCTCTCACAAGAAACAGTACTGCCTGAGTTTGAGACGGATCAGAGGGACAAAGTTGGTAACAAAGAAGGTGAAGAAGAAGGATTAAGTGAGGAAGATGATTACGATGAAGAAGAAGAAGAGGAGGAGGGAGAAGGAGACAATGAGACAAGTGAGTTCGAGATTGTGTTGAACAAATCATCTTCACCTATGGACATAAACAATAATCTTTTCACCTAAGTGGTTTTCATAATCTTTTTATATACACTTCTCTATTAAACTACACAACGGTGTGGAAGAAAAAACATATACAAAAACAAATGTAAGTAAATGGCTTGATTTTTTAGTTACTAGTATTCCTTTTCGTGATATTTAATAAAATAATTCAATTTCAAGAAATATTTTGAGTGTGTATCAAATTATATAGAACCAAAAAACTCAATGGTATCAAGTATCAAAACTGATGAAATTTGAAAGAGAAAAATTGGCCCAATTGGTTGGGAGGAGCCAAGGGGTGATCAAGCATCCATGTATATATCCTTGGGTACCCGACACAAGTAATAAAAATTTGGACCTACAAATTCAAATTGGGTCGTCGTTTTCATCATTTTTATTTCTTTCCAATATTTAATATTTCAAATTTAACTTCGTATTTCTTATCCCATTCTAATTTTATAATATTATAAAGTTACCTTAAATCATGTAATCAAAAGCATCGTCCGTGTGGTAGATGGCGTTGGTGCGTTTCTTTCTGTAATATGTGCCTACATACCACGAGGTGGACCCAACATTACACACTATAATTAGTACTGTAATATTTTTTTAATGAAAAGACTAAGCATTATTTTTGTAACATAATGTAGTATCGATAGATGTAAATTTGTATGAATTTACACTATATTATATGGTTGAAAATAAGCGATATATGTAAATTTGGTAGTTGAGGTGAAAGATGTTCCGTGGCATATTTTAGAGTCATAGACAATTAGACTTCTGTTCCTCAACGCCATGAGAAATCATCTGCCTAAAACTTCTTTATGTCCCCCTCACGAAATGTTGACCTTTGTCGTGTCAAAACAAAAGTAAAAGCTACCTTTGATATTATGCTTTGCACAAACTCGTTTTTCAAAAAACCATTTATAGCAAAAAAGAACCACTTTCTTTTAAGATATATCACTTCTTTTAGGTTAATTGGAGAAATTTTTCAATAATGTACTGAAATGAAAGTGGGGGTTGCAAAATATATGTATTTTCCGTAATACTCAAGAACTCTTCAATTAGAAAGGATTCGAAGTAATTTATGCTCACTATTTATCTACTCTAGCTATATTTTCTTTCCACAACAACGATCGTCAAAGTTCGTATATATTATTTTTTCTTGTAAATGCATGCATTCTTATTATAATGTATGAATATACATATTTAGTATTTTGGATCGTCATCATTGTTTTTAGCCCCTCGAAAAAAAAGAGATGCAAATAGAAATTATAAAACATTTATGGAAAAGAAAAAGAAGAAGATTCCGTTCCTAATAAGTAGCCACCATTCTTTCTCACATCTCATTTTCCCTTCTACATGCCCACTTTTCTGCACTTTGGATTTTCAAGTTTCATTTTTCATTTTTCATTTTTCATTTTTCATTTCTATTGTTTGTCGTTATATAGTTATTTCAAAATTTTAATTTTCTGCAAACCTAGCTAATTCAAATGTATCATCTGGCCTAAACTCAGAAGCAATTGTTAAAAAAAAAAGCTCATAAGCAAGAAGCAGCAAATAAATTGTTTGAATTTGATCATATAAAACCTTTTTAAAAACTTATACTGGTAGACCGTAGAAACGTTTGAATGCTGCATCAATTATTTACACTAGGAGAGAACCCGCGCAATGCGCGGGTTTATTAAACCAAATATTTTTAATTTAATTATTCAGAACATTAGATTCGAATATATTAGATTCTGTAAGTTTTGCATTTTGTTTTTTTTCATATAGTTTTAAAATTTAGTTGTTATTTACGTGAAATCTTATATAGACTCATAGTGAATAGTTTCATATGTTTTTTGTTCTTTTATACAATAATTTATCGACTGGAGTTGAGTTCTTCTAATTTTCCTTATACTAACAATCATTATAGATTGATTATTATCCTACAGACTCATAGATAATAATAATTGCAATCCTTTTTAAAAGGAAATGAAATGAGCTAATTAGCCAGTAAGCCCATTTAAAGCTACCATGGAAACGAAGAGGTCCGATAAATAATCAAGCCCATCAAAACGAACAGCATTACACATAATTTTGATTTAGATTTTTTTTTTTTAATACGAAAACGACGTCGTTTTGGTGTAAGACGAAAAAAAAAAAATAAAGCGCAAAACGACGTCGTTTTGGTGTTAGGCGAAAAAAAAAAAAAAAAAGAGTGCCACGTGTCAAAGGCTGGAGATTGTCCAAGCCTTATTAGTTATGTAGATTTTTATTTTGTTTTGTTTTATTCTGTGATTAGTCATTGAAAATAACTATCGAATGGTATTTTGCGGGTTTTATAAAGTAAATAATAACTTATGGTGACATGAAACAGAAAAAAAAATATAGGGTGGAAAAATGATTGGCAAACATTAATTTGAGATACAACGATCAAATGCTGTCCACTTGCTGATTGCTTTTCATGGAGGTACTTACACAGTGCCACAAATTGTTCGAATTCATTACAAATCTATGGTCTAAAATCCAGTTATATGCATTACAAAATTTTCCTGGTATACTTTTACAATAATAGTGACTCATGAGAACGAATACTTGTATATATCATTTATATTTAAACAAATGATGATACGATTTTCTTTATCAAAAATCTATCCCACAAATTTTTAGTTTCCATCCAGGATGAAAAAATGAAGTTAAAACGGTTAAAACTGATTTCGAAGTTCTAAACATGTTAGATGTTTCGTCAGCCCAAATTTGAAGTACATAAAAAGGTTTCACTTATTTTTCTTTATCATGATTTAAATCTAAACAAATATCAAATCAGTCCAATAACCTATTATTGAAACTGAACTCGGACAAATTTTATAAACCGAAACGGACCAAGACAATATAACATCAAACATCATTACAACTCTATGTAGAGACATCATATGAAACTGATAGTATGTACTATCTAGGTCGCTTAGTGAAAAATTGTTACTCATGCAATGAAATTGATAACCGATCCAAAATATCTTGAATAATTTCAACATAACATCCAATAAACACATATAGAAAATTGTGGAACGTACAAATATTTCATGCATCAACTTTCTTCGTCCGTGGACCGGCAATTTCAGTTTTCAATACTATATATTAAACAAGAATATATATTTTCTTCAGGTCCTTTTCGTGTGCTTTAAAGTCTACTTATTGCCTTGTTTAATCATTTTGAACTCGCAATTTTCAATTAGTTTAAGATATTTTGTTTAATTCAACGGTACAAACTGAGACTTGCTTGTGATAAGAAGATACTTTCACAGAAAAGGAAAACGTAAACAGAATAATTAGCCTTTGTTATCCCATCCAAATAAACAATAGCAGACACCAAACAAATTAAAGTGGGCTCACATATTAGTCACATATAATAATGTAATAATGTATTATACAAAAAACTATATCTACAATAAAAATAGGAGGTCCTTTCTTCGAAGGTTGGCAAGATATTGCAGATTCGTGTCTAGGTTGAGTCATAGACAAATACTAATAAAAAAATTATTCCTTCCCATTGTATATACATGTAAGTGTAACACAACAAATTAACAAGAAGTAGAATACAGCTCTTAACCAATCTCTCTCAAATGTAGGTCCATAGAGTAAATAAAGTAAAATGTAACTTTAAAATCTCAATTTAGATGATAAATTCTCTTAAACAAGAGCCAGCTAAAACTGAAAATAAAAAGCTGCAGTGATCAAAACTGTAATAAAGATTGTACATGTCTATATGAAAATCATAAAATCCATCATAATTAACCGCATCTGAATTTTATACTGTACAAATATAAAACACAGTATATACATTATATATATATATATTACTTAACGTACAACCTAAGGTTGATTATATGATGCTCTACATTGTTATAACATGTGCAGGAAATGTATATACCTCTATATCAATTTGAATGTTCATGAACATAACCAAACTCAATCATGATTTGAGTTTGGTCCGTATAAAAAAATGTTCAAAAAACTGATTTGTCACAGTTTATATCACAGTTCGTATAATGTGTTTAACCCTACACAATTCCACGAGTGTGTGGCGTTAGTGTACATGTATAACTATAACGAAACATGCCTAAAACGTTAGGAGTCACGATCATCAGCGCCAGATACATCAGTTTTGGGTTATACAGATCTGGCAATGCGACCAAACATGTGTCGATAGGACTTACAAATTAATTATGACACAGCGAATCATCATCGTCTCACACAAGAGTTTTTGTATACATCGTTGGATCTGTCACGTGCTTCCATAGGGAATTTACGAAATTACCCTTA